CCTACCTGCAGGCACGTGTGCATCTGTCCACACAGAGGTACTCCTGTGCAGTCTGCCTCCTTGTCCTGAGCTGAGGCAGCAGCATTCCCCGGATGCTCCTGCCACTACTTCCTGAACAACCTGCACCTGTTACTAGGAGCTGGCCCCTCACACATAAGCCAGCCCTCCACTCGGGCACTAGGTCTAGGTCAGCGTTTCTCAAACTATCCGCAAGGACGGACCCGTTTTGTTCTTTTTTTTTTAGTTTCCAATCCACCACAGTCTGAGGCTTTTATAAAATACAATAAAAATGAATCACCAGAATGATAATCCAAAAATGGAAAAGAACAAGTGCTGGCTAGAGAAACTGGAACCCTCGTCCACTATGGTGGGAATGTAGAAAGGTACAGCGGCTGTGGATGATGGTGTGGTGGCTCCTCACAGAATTCCCGTATGATCCAGCAAGTCCACGCCTAGCTGGGTACCCAGAGGAACTAAAAACAGGCATTCAAACAAAGACTTGTACGTGAATAGTCATAGCAATACTATTAACAGTAGCCAAAAAAGGGTGGAAACAACCCAAATGTCCATCAACTGATGAACAGATAAACAAACCTTGGTATATCCAGTTCTGTTAGGCTGTAATAAGGAAGTACTGATACATATCACAACTTATATGAACCTTGAAAATATTATACTAAGTGACAGAAGACAGTCCAAAAGGCCACATATTATATGATTATATGATTCCACTTACATTAAATTAAACATCTTGAAGAGACAAATTCATCAAAACAATAAGGCAGTAAGAGGTTCCCCTGGGCTGGTGGAAGGGAGAATGGGGGTGGCTGCTTAACGGGTAGGGGCTCCTTGTGCAAATGACTCAGAACTTGACGGAGGTGACAGCTGCCCACATTGTGACCTACTAAACACCACTGAACTGAATGGTTTAAAATGGTTACATGGTTAATTTTATGTTAGGTGGATTTTACTTCAGTGAAAAAAATGAATCACTAGAAAAGTAAAAGACAGAAGACAAGATCCAATTTTTTATTGGTTCAACAGGCATAAAACTGCTCTGTCAAGTTGCTGTGAAGTTTCTATGTACTCTTAATTCCTTTACTTATCTCCTCTTAGGTGACGAAGTGTGCACGGCGCCCACCCCGGGGGACCACTGCCCCAGGAGGGAGCGCCCGAGGGGGTCCCACTCTGTCTCCCTCACTCAGAGGCACTGCTATTGTCCCTGTCAATCGTGCCCCCCACACACCTCGCATCAGCTTGTCTTCTGGATCCCTCCACAGCACACAAACCTATTATAATATCCTCCTTTAAACAAAAGGGAAGGAGCTTCCTTGAACTCACCTCTGCACTCCAGTTACCTGCCCCATCTCACTACTCCCCTTACAGCAAAACTCCTTGAAGAACTGTCTACACTCACTGCCCGATGTGTCTCCCCTGAATGCACAGTCCAGCTGTGCTGCCCATCTCCCCACCACACCAGCCACTCATCCAGCCACCGATCATTTCCCCTTGCCATAGCCAGTGGTCAGTTCCAGACCTCATCCCATTTGCCCTGCCAGCATTATTAGCATCACTGGGCTTTGTTCATTGACATGCTTTCTTTACTTGCCTCCCATATTACCATTCACCTTTGTCTTCCTCCCACCTCATGGGTGCTCCTTATTACTCTCTCCCTTGCGGGTCCTCCAAACACTGGAAGGCTCCAGAGCTCAGTCCTTGGCCCTTTATTCTTCTCCATCTACACTAAGTTCTTATTTCCAGCAGGGATATCTCCCCTCAACTTCAGATCTCATACATCCAATTCCTACCTGATGATCCACTTGGATGACTCATGCACATCTCACAACGTGTGCAAAATTAAACTCCTAATTCCTGCAAACCTGTTTCTCTCATGGTCTTCTTTACCTGAATAAATAGAAATGCCAAGTTTCTACTTGATTAGGTCAAAAATTAGGGTGTCACCCTTCACTCCTTCCTTTCTGTCACATCCCAAATCCATCACCAAATCTTATTGGTTCTATCTTCAAAATGTACCTAGAATTCAACCACTTGCCATCACTCCCACACTCGCACCCTGACTACGCCACTGTCATCCTTTGCAAGAATTACTGCAGTAGCCTTCTAACTGGCCTCCCCACTTCTACCTCGCACCCTTGCAGTCCATTCTTAAACAGGAGCCAGGGTGACCTTTAAAACCGGAAAGCCAACATGTCACCCCTTTGCTGGAAATCCTCCAGTGGCTTCCCATCTCCTTGAGATAAGAGCCAAAGAGCTGGCAATGGCTCACAAAGTCCTACATGGCCAGGCCCCGCCATCTCTCATCTACCTCCTAACACTTTCCAGGACATAAAAAGGAGAGAGAATGGCTCTTAGCCTCTTCACAGAGAAAAACATAAAGCAGTAGCAACACAGCGAAAGGAAAACTTTCTGTGTAATTGTTTTCCCCTCCATTCTATCTGCATGACGCCATCTTCAGCAAAACCAGAGGAAAACCTTGAACTTGGACTCATTTCTTTAGATGGTATAGAGAGGTTTAAACTTATCTTTTAAGAAACTGAAGAAAAATGTATTTACTGGACATATTTATAGTTAAAAAAGACTTTAAAGAAGACATGAAACCTACTGAAAACATTTTTCAAATAACTTATAAGTCCTCACTCAGAATAATTTACATACTATTTACAAATCATAATTTGTTTGTTAATGCAACCAACCAAAGGACCTCAACTCAAACTTGATAGAACTGATCAACGTAACTGGTTATCAGCCAGCCTTTGCCACCTCCTCACAAATGAACATGCTCATGCCCCACCCCCATCCCCACATCCTGCCAGCAGCCACAGCCACACTTAGCAGAGGGCCTAACCTGCCCCCACCTGTGTCGACGCTAATGGTAAAACGAGGACCTAAGGCCCCAGGAGGTGAACCTGGGGTGCTCCTGTTGATCCCCAACTTCCCCTTTCCCCTCCCTTCCAACCTGCTTTGTAAAAATGCCATGCAATGTGGAAGCCCAAGATACCATATACTTGGAAGCCATAGAGCTATGTTTCTTTAAAACATAGGCTGAGATTTTATTTTCTATTAATTCCCATTCTCCTTCTCCATGGCAATTCCAATACAGATATCCCTGAGATTTCATTGCACTTGTTCAGAGCCAACTCCCTCATGTCTGAAGCCTGGCCCTCGTGATTAATTACCAGTGAGTGAGAGGGGGACCAGAAGGTCAAGCCTGAGGTCTCCTCACACCACACTTTCAAATACACACGTCGCCAGAGAAGCTGTGGGACGTTCTAGGTGTCCCTCCCAGGAACACTGGTGCAGCTGCTCTTTCCCTTCCTGGGCTGTAACCTCTCTCCTTCTGAGAGTCTCTTCCTTTCCTGCCATAAATTCAAATGCCTATTGCCCCTCTCCAGATTCCTTCCTCTCTGCTCTAATAAATTTCCTCTTATCTTTTTGTCTTCCTGCCTCACTCTGAATTTACACCTTTGTCTCAAGAGTGCTAGTGCTTCTAGAAATATTCTATTATTCCGAGAGCAAGGAGCTCAGGCCATTTCTTCCTGAAAGTAGGTTTCAGTCCTAATTTTCTGTACGAACCAACATACCTTTTAACTGCTTTATCCCTAAATTGTGCCCCGGCTCCATCAGACACACAACGAGTTGGGATTCTGATCTTCCAAGATTGTGTTTTCTTACAGAGCAAGGTTACTTAAAAATCATACCTGACTCAAGTATTCATTTGTTCATTCCTTCCTCCCTTCATTCATTCACTCAACTGATGAATAACGAAAGGCATCATAGCAACTAGAAAAGTCCAGAAGATGTGTCCTCTGTCCTTAAGGAGCTTCTAATTCACATACATACGCAGACTCAAAGGCAGTGTGGATGAAGGGCCAAGTGGGCATACAGTACACGGTGTGAGTTCCTATAAAACAGAGCTGTGCTTGTCCACTCCCGACGAAAAGTGATCATTAATAAAAGTCAAAGTGCAATCAACAATGCGTGCTTTCCTCTCTCTCTACAGTTCAAACTGGTCGGTTCCCTCGACCAACAGACTCCATGTTAATGAAATCTTTTATTTTAGTATGGGAAAGAAAGCATAACTTTCCCAGCTGTTTTAGATTTCATTGTTCTCAATTTGGAAATCAAAGCATGGTTCTGATTCTCATTCTCTACAAACACTTGCTTTACAAAGAAGCCAGATCTCCGTGGAGTCAAGTTCTTGAGAAAACCAGCTTCTCTGGTCCCGTACAGAGCAAGCTCTAGCTGCCGTTTTCTCTACCAAGTCCCTCACTATTGCCCTGACTTCCACATACTGCCTCAGCTGTGCACGTGTCTCACTTTCCTAGATCAAAAGACGGTGCTTAAATATAAAGAACTTAAAAACAGGGCCTGGAAACACAGCAGCCATAAAAGACCTGCCTGTCATCCTCACAGGGTAAACACTGGGGAGAAAGTTAAAATTGAAGTTGAGGAACTGCGTCTTTCAGAGTGCTCTGGTTCATCAAGCAGTCATTTTTTATTTTAAAGCCATCATATCAGAGCGTGTTGCTTCTGCATCAACTCTGAGATCTACTGTATTAAAAAATGTTTTATTGTTATTTTATTTTCCTCCCCAAAAGATGAAAACACCTTCAGCTTTAAAACGAAGAAGTTTTGGAAACTGAGTTTTCAATATACAGAAACTTGTTTCACTAAAAATACCAGGACCTGAACCACATTTCAAGTGCCCCTGATGTTACTGATCCTCTAGAAAATACATTTTTAGCTTCTAACGGGAGCCTCCGTCTTATTCTTATCATTCCAAACATCCAGAAAAGAGAGAAACATGATTATTAAGAACCTAGCAAAGCAAAATCATTCCATAACTAAACACGTTAAGAGATACTTACATAACCTCTCCACCAGCTGCTACCCGGGAGGCTGTCAGAGGAGACCAGAGACCCAGAGCCGGCCTTCGTCTCCTCTCCACCTCAAATCCAGACTCAGTAACAGAAACCTACCGCTCGCTTTGGCTTCCGAGTAGGAGGGGCCATCCTCAAAAGTGAAGATCTGGGACATGCTCTGGCCCAGGTAGGAGGGAGGCGGGTAGTAAGAATGCATCCTGTACTGGGAACTCACTGCGTGGCGGTTCTCCGAGTTTTTCATCTGCTTAAGAAAAAAGAAGGAATATACTGAGATCACAGTTGCATTTTACAATCATTACAAGAATTAACTACTTCTTTAAATTAAGGGAATAGCCTATTAAAGTTGGAAGCATCCTTGCCCGTGAATGAGCTCTAGAAATACTAGTGCACAGATTCTAGAAATACTAGAACTGAGCAGGCCAAGGGGCGTTTTCCCTCTTGGGGTCCCCTCTAAAGTACCCCTCTAATTCCAACTGCTCATATGATGCTTGATTAGTAAGCACAAGAGAGAATAGGGCAGAAAAGATGGGAGAACACTGCTGAGGCGCCAACAGAATCCAACCCAATCCCTGTGACACTGACCAGTGCGTTTGACCAGGAGCAAGTTATTTAACTTCCTCATGTGTTTCCTCATGTGTAAAACTGGCATCTTACTTTGGTTACCTCACAGTCTTCACATCAAGAGAATGTTTTTTAAAAACAACATGCAACCCTGTGTGAGGGTCAGCTGTTGTCATCAGCACGATGCTGCGCTGAATACTGTTACTCAGAGTCCATTCCCACCCACTCCTGTGGCTTTTCCCTGTAGCAGGGAGCGAAGTCTGGGATCTGTCTCCTGGACTCTCTTGTCACCAGAGTTCTGGAGGTGATTTGGATTCTGCTCATAGGACATGAAATGAGATTTGGAAGACAGAAGGGTCAGTGGCAGCTGATCCTTGACTGTCAGACCCTGCCTTTGGGACCATCGGGCAGCTTTTACGTAAGGAGTCCCCCGCAGCTTCTTGACCTCTCGTTCAAGCTAAGGAGTTGAAACCTCCAGGCTTAAAAGGGGTCCCAGTCCACACTTCCACTTTTCTGGCTCTTCCTGGCCACTTCCACAAACACCCAGAAAAGTTCTGAATCCTACACGGACTAGACAGTGAGCACTGAAGGCATAATCAGATTTTCACGCAAGAAAGCTAGACTAACAGCTAGACTGCAATTATTTATACTGCCTTTCAAAGACTAAATTTAGATGGTATTAACTTTATTTAAAAAGTCAACATAAGAGAACATTCAAGGATAAATGAATTCTGTTTAAGAATTCAGGAATAATTTCAAAATCATGTTTTTCAATCAAATCTTTAGAATGCTACTTGATAAAAGTAAGTAGTATTAACTTGACAGAGCCTGGCAGGATAAAAGTAGATACTGGGCTTCAAGATTTTCTATGAGAATTTAAATTTTGGACAATTTCCCAAGTGATACAGGCCTAGGGATTACGGCTTTGCTTGGAGGAAATGAAACCCGCCTAACTCTCTGATCTCTCTATGCTAATCGGAGAAGCTCAAGGGAGTCATTTTTGACCCTCCCAACTGCTCCTCAGCCCAGATGTCCGCTCTAATGGGTGGATTACTTTTTGCAGAAGCAAAAAAAAACTCTATTCCACTCGATTATGTCCTTACAAGTGAAGTTTATCTGGCAAGTTCCCTAAATTTATCCTTCCTAGTTTGGTTTTTTTTTGATGCATATAAAACAGTGTCTCTTCTAGCTCAATCACATACACAATCATTTTCCACCATTCTATAAATCTTTACTAAATAAGAGGGCAGGACAAGCTGTACTTGGAAATAGCCAAAGGGGAAAAACTGTCTGCCTTTAATGAGTGAGCCCAAGTCAGAAGCCATTAAGGAGCTGTGAAATCACTTAAAGTAAGAATCAATGGTCAGTTTACTGCACAGACCCTGCTATCAATTAGACCAGGGCTTCCCAGGGCTCTCTTCATGAGTATTCAGATAGCCTGGGGATCCTGTTAAAAACCACATTCTGATTCAGTAAGTCTAGGGTGGAGGCCTCACAGTGTGACACATTCTCAATCAGCATCTCAATCAGGGGATGCTGATTTTCTGCTCAAGGGACTAGAATAAATGATCCTTTCTCCCATTCTTGGGGCCTTTAGGGGCTGTGACCAAAGGAGGACCTTCTAAAACAGTTTTTGACCAGCTGTTTACAAGCATCAACTTTCCACCTGAACTGAGGGGAGGAGGAAATGATGTAAAAGGCATTTCAAATTTTTTCATTATTTTTCTTTTTATATCTAAGATTCCCCAGAGCTAAAGAACTTCTTTCAGGAGTCTGCCACCATCTAGAACTCCTGCAGCCATAATAATGAACTCAAACATGCTTTGCATTCAAGAGCCATTTCTGCTTCTACAGGCTTCCCTCAGGTCTACTACACAGGCTGAGTAACGAACACTGAGCTAGAAGCCAAGTGCCAACTTTTAAGTATAAAGTGCCCTAATGTAACTCACGGAGCTTCCCAGCTCTGAGGTGGTGAGCTGGTTACTTCTTCTGCTCTGACAATACCTTCCAATCAGTTCTTCAGGGAAAATGCTTTTCAGTTTTCTTCACGTACAAGAAAACTGAAAGGATGAGAGCCTGCAGGCTCTGCAAAATGCTGGATTTATTTTCTTTTACTATGAATTTTGTATAAAGTATATTTGAAAAATGTTCACTGAGAGTCTAGAGAAGGGGTCAGCTAACTTCTTTGGTAAATGGCCAAAGAGTAACTATCTCAAGCTTTGCGAGCTACAGGGTCTCTAGACAATCAGTAAATGAGTGAGAGTGGCTCTGTTTCAATAAAGCTTTATTTATAAAAATGCACCTGTTCCTCAACCTTCACTCCCAGTGCAATACTGGGGAAGGAGGGGGACCAGCACTGATGCCTGGGCTCCACCCAGAGCATCAGATTTCACTGGTCTGGGATGCTGCTGGGGCACTGGATTTTCTTCAAATCTCTGCAGGTAATTCTAATCTGACACCCAGATTAAGAACTAGTATTTCAGAATTACCTACGTATTTCCCATACCCGGAGAAGCACAAAATCCCAACATCCCCAGTATTAACTAAGAAAGGCAAAAGGGTAAGTCTCACAGGCTGGTCAATTGCTGCCAATCCCAATATGTATAATATTTGAAAAGAGATTCAGATAAACTGTTGGGTTCTTTTTTCCTTTCAGCTCAAGCTTACTGGAAAATAAACACAATTTCAAACCCATGTGCATATTTATCTCTCCCCTTAATTCCTTTTCTGTGTTTTCAGAAAGCATCAAATTGCAAAGACTATTTAGAAATAGGTATTGAGTTAACTGAATTTAGATTTTTCAATTTCTCCCATGAATCCCTGATGACTGAGCTATAAAAGACCTCCAGCAAAAGAAGAAAAAGATACAAAGGGTCATACTCCACCTGAGGTGATCAGAATGTGAACTTACTGAGGCCTTCGCCTGCTCCCAAATGGAAGATTAATCTACAAATAACCACCATGTGACAATTCAGATGTAAGAAAGCTAAGTGCACATGTAAACCTCTGAGACATGGAGTTAAAAAGTGAATTGTGATTCACCCAGAAAGTATAGAAAACGGCATGGAAAAATGCGACTTAGAACTCTAGATCGCTTCTTGCTCCCTTCTAACTGAAAAAAAAAAAAATCACAGCATGCTACTTAAGGCTTAGACAAAAATGGAATAAATAAGGAAAACCTTGAAACGTGCTGTTTTACTTTAAACCAGCAATACTCAACTGAGGACAGTTTGTCCCCCAGGGGACAACTGGCAAAGTCTGGAGACACTTTCAATTGTCACAACTAGGTGGGGGGCGGTGCTACTGGCACCTGGGAGCAGAGACCAGGATGCCGCTAACCATCCGCCAGCGCAGTCCCCGCAACGCAGACGCGACCGGCCCACCATTCTGATAGTGCCACGCGGGAGAAAACTTGCTTTAAACTCATCTAATGCCACCCGCCTTGTGCTCGCCCTTCACCTCCGGCTGAAACGGCAAAGTTCTACTGAGGGACAGAAGGTGCTCACAAAGGAAAGAAACTGCTCAGTTCTGCTAAAAAGAGATTCATTTTTCATTCAAGATTTTATTTTTTATTCCTTTAAATTAAACAAACAAACGAAGTAAAACGTAAAAGCCCAGGATTCCAGGGAGTTATGGCTACTATTACTATTAGCATGTGGTAGCTGGCAAGCAAGAGGCACGCTTTATAATCTCATCACCCACCCCAAGTCTGAGTGTGTGTGACCTGCGACGGGAGCTGGGCTGGCAGGGAACGTGCGTGCTGGTAGTATTAACCCCGGACGACAACCTCAGAGCTTCGGGTTTTATTTTATTAAACTGTTGAGAACATACAGCACAGTAAACCCGAACCATAGGATTCCTTCTTATACACCGCGGACACCCTTCTTCATTGTAACAATAAAGTCCCAACATGCAACAGTGTTTAAAAAAAAAATCCTGAATACTACTCAGTGGTGGCCTATCAATGCTTCAGATAGGAAGAGGGTCTGGCTTTTCCTAGAACCCAACACTCCATCCAGGAAATGGCTGGAAGATTCCTGAGGACCAAGCTGTCCTCTAGTTTTGACTAAGCGTGGCTCAGCTGCACAGGATTAAGAGTCAGCGAAGAAAGGGAATGGTCATCCTAAGAAGAGGGACTGTGGAGGATAATATTCCTAACTGCAAACTCTGGCATTTAAACAGTGGCACAGAGTGAGAAAAAGCCAAACTATGAAAATGGCTCCCTTTCCTGGAGCCTGATGCATTTTGGGGGTTCACAAAAGAAAGGGGCAGGGCCACCTGGAAACAGCCTCTGGGACTAGCCCAGGGCCCTTCTCATTTTCCCAAACCACTAACTTAGGCAGGATTTTCAAGCTCCTGGGTCAGAAACTTCTATTTGTGATTCACAAATCTAAAACACAAACCCTGACTTCCCAGCTGAAGTCACACAGAGCCAGGCAGAAAATATGCATCGATTACATAAAAGCCAGTAGGAAACAGCTTCAGTAAAAGAGCTGGTTTGAATTTTAAATTGGGTTAACCACTGTCAAGTCAAAGTACTGCACTCTCCCTAACATGCAAGTCTCTGAGAGCATTACGTCACACCTCTGAAGACAGGTGGCGGGGGCTCTGGCACGGTGATATTCTTCATGTAAGTTTCCCAAGAAAATGCACCTTGCCAAATCTCGTGGCAGGTAAGTG